TTCTTGGCAGTTAATTGGCAGTCAACTTTCTACAGTCTCTCTTTATACTTTGTTGGTGATGACTGATTCCCCCTCGGAATCAAAACCACGCGATCCCCTAAAGTCCTTGGACCCTCCCCCTCAGGCGATAAAAATGACTGGTGCCTAAATAAAAAATATTTCCCTCGCTGGTTTGTTTACAAAAACACTCAAGATAGGCTTAACTTACTCACCGGTTCCTCTCTTTATGGGATACCCTGAGGGCCTCTCACTGGGGGGCCTGTGATGAGGTCTCCCTAGAGTGGACCAAAGAGAGTTTATGTTGTTCTATGAGCAACTGATTGTGGATATATGAAGATCATGTATGTGAATATTAAAGCGATCTTTGCAGTATTGATCACAGTAGCGTGAACAGAAGTGAAAATAAGGCCTGGTTCTTGGAGGCGATGGGAGGTTCATAAGGGTGGGGATTATGACTTTTCAATTACAATAACATGAAAAAAAGCTACTTCTAAATAAATGAGTCGACAAGGTACCTTTTTCGCATTTCTAATAGGATTAAGTAATAAGATAAAACGAGTAAAAAAAAGCTGACGCTTTAGCGTTATTACGATCATAATTTCTATTCTTTTCACATTATCCACTCAAACAGACTTGTGACGCGTTAAGTCCTAAAGGAAATTGTTAACTGTTGAATATTTTTTAAAATTATAATGAACCGATCAATTCTCTTTGCTAAGATCAGTACAAAGACCGAAATCTATAAGGAGAACGTAGTTTTAACGAAATTAGATCAATCCTTAAGCTATGAATTTGAAATAAAAAGATATTTTGGATGAACGGCATTTTCCGTAAGATTAGCTTCTTTAAGCCTTCAAATATGTATTCTGACGATCTCGTCCTCTATCCGCTGAAAAGATTGACTCTTGTCCAAAGGCAATTTAAGTCTTACTGATAATGAATCCGGCTATTTTCCATAAGTGCTTAATTTCCAACTATAGAAAACAAAATTATTTGTGCCATCTTTAAAAAAAATGGCATCATTGTATCCAATGTTTACACTTCCGGAGTGAACACAGATTTTCAAATAAGCCGCCTAAACATAAGTGGCTTATAGTATCTAATGGCCCTTGAGAAGTCTTAGGTCATTCATTTGCCAGACACTTCAGTCCATTTCTGTGGACAAATTTTCTTACAAATTTCTTGGAAAAAATAGACTGCAAACTTGTGATATTTGATTTTACCTGTAAGAAAAATTACAAATAGGTTTTGTTTTGAATTCCAGGCTTTACATCCAGATATTTATTTTGTTCAGTCAGTTGTTTGCGTTAGCATGTGTCAAGTAAACCAACCACTCCATGCTCCACACCTGCTGCGAAATAGCTATCCCACACAAGTGTTTCAGAAATCCGCGCGGAAGAAAAGATAATTGATTGAACACACTGCCCTCTGTTTCTAATGATTGGCAAGAGTCAGAGTATTGTCACACCTAAAAAATTTCCAGTGTATTTTTGCGACACAGCCACTTAACAAAAACAGGTACCGGGATTGCGTCGGTACCCACAGAGCTGAATGACCTGTTATGTTTGTCTTAATAGGTCGCTGCCATTTCAACCGAGTCATCCATAAAGCCATGCATGAATAGTTTATTACATCAACAACTCGAAATTCTAGCCAATCAAAACGCAGCAACGAAAATGATTTCATCCGGTCTCACGCTATTTTAACTTTTCCGTAAAATCAATTGACATTGCGGTGAGTGTGTCATTCTTCCACCAAGCGTTCATGCTGTGCCAGCAAGGGCCGGTCTCGACCAATATCAACCTAAAACCAGGTTTGTGAAATGTGATATTTTTCTATCTTTGACAATTACATAATTATATCATTTATTATCATAAAATTAAACAACGATTTTCTAAGTAGGTTAATTTCAATCTCTTCTAATTTTCCTCTTTTACTGCGCGCAGATTGCTCATTTCAGAGACCGTTTTGTCTGCTTAACAATATCAAGCAGAGAAGAAGAGGGTTCATATTTCCTCTGAAGAAGCAGGAAGACTCATGCTGTTTTAGCCAAAAAAGCGGCAATGGCGGATAAGAACAAATTTTCCGTTTTATTCAAATGTACAATAAGTGAACTTCAACAGAGCACAGTGGAGCCACGACCAAAAATGAGAGAAAGAAAGATCGATAAAGCTGTACCATAAGTATGATATCACTCAGCAAAGCCTGTCCCAGTGTGTGTGAGGCAAGCCTGAAAAACTGTACGAAGTAAATCTTTATGTTCATCGGCTTATTGTTAAACAACGAGTAAGACTACAATGGGCAACCACCGGAGGGGAATTCAAAAATGCTGTGACACTTTGTTGGCAGTTAACAAGGCGTTAAACTCAAACAGCAGGTGAAGGTTCACAAGCTAGAATCCTTGTTTGACATATGATGCGTTCATCAAAAGGTGAGTGGTATATAAAAATCACAAGCTGATGCCTTTTCAGAAGGTACAATGAAATTTTAGTTGAATTTTATTCATGTTGGCGTTGAAGAAGCATCAAACTTCGCAGTTGGGTTGTCTTAAAAAAGCACTTAGACCTCAGTTAGTACAAAGACATCTAACCTTCACACACTTCTTGCGTAACACAATAGCATAAAACCCAAATAATTTCTTTAAAAGAACCTTTCCAAAGAAAGCTCGAAATAACATATTAGCCCAATGAAATATAACATCGCGACACTAAAATCAGTGAACATGTTTACATTCTGTGAGGGTTTGTCATTAAAATTAACAAATCAAAACTGATGAAGATTTTATATGGGGCGAGTCCTTTTTTTATAACTCAAAAGTAATCCCTGATTGCTTTGGTTTGGCTTCACTTCGCTATGCGATTTTTTCGGAAAAAGTCGCGTCATTCTTTCATCAAATGCAAAACTAAAATCAATCACAGCTTCGTCTCCCGCGTTTCCTTCGCGCTTTAGGTAGTTTGCTTGTTTTTACTTTGAGTTCTGATTGGCTCTGCAAGGTATTTTCCTTTCCTTGTTTGGCTATAGTGATTACTTTGGCTTCACTTTGACAATACTCAATCACTCTATTGTCTGATACATCTTCTTGTTTAATGCCAATAGATTAGTTCCATTTGAAGAAAGAGGATAAATTGCGTTAATTTTAATTTCAAAAACCACTCCATTCACAAGGAAACAAATGGCGTCCAGCCACCAAAAAAAAAGTACACAAATCAGTGCAGCATTTTTACGAGTTTTTTCTGTCATAAGAATAACACAAGAGAATGCAAAAGTTAAGGCTATGATTACTTTTCAACTTTATAATTTCTAATCATTCCCTTATAGTTATAAGGGATTCTTATTCCTTTATTCATTCAAGTAATGATTTACCTCTTGCGTCTGTTACACTTATTTTTGATAGAAAAACCTCAACGTTATTTCACAACTGGAATTGACAGAGCAAGATATCATGTCCATGCAGTGCTAAGGAGAGGACTTCAGTTCACATTTCAGAGTTAACGTAACGATACCTGCATCTCAGAGCAATTTCGATTGTGTGTTGGAAGTAATTATGAATTGTTTTGGTTTACCACACTACGCTCTATGATTGGGCTAAAAACCTCGCGCCAAATTTCCAACCAATCGGATGAAAAACTAAAACCAATCCCGACTTGGTCATTAGCGTTTTTCGCGTTTAAAGCAGTTTCCATGGTTTTGGTTTGGGTTACTATTGGCTAATTGGGATATTATCCTTTTAGTTCTGACTTATCGATGTGATTTCTCTGGTCCTGGTCTCACGACATTCAATCGAAAAGCTCTTTACTGGCTCTAAGAATGGTTTGAAAAGATGGGCAACAACTTGTTTACTAATGATAACTTGACAACACACTCAACCTCTGCCTGCGACAGTAATCAAGGGCTCTTTACTGAACATGACATGACCCAAAGAACAGCTGGCTGAGCACACTCAATAATCACATGAGAGAAGCTAAATCTAAACCACTTTTCCTGCTACCAAATCACAGACTAACAGGGCTCTTCACAAATTACCTGATCACATACCAGAAGGATAACTCAGATGTTCGCCACTAACATTGCAGATGTTGCAAAATCAACAATTAAGCATCACAAATAACCATAACTGTCACGTTGTACTAACACTTTGTTTTTTTCACATGGGCACACATTCAATGTAAACTTCCAAATAACTGCAGGCACATTACACTTAATTACATGCTGATATCCAAACTCATCTAACTCCATAACACAAAATTGTTAAGTATTTCGTACCAAGTGCCTCATAACACAATCAGTAACGATTTTGCTCAAATTCGACCATGCATTTAGAAATAATGTTGCTTCATTTTCGGATTTGAATTCAGCTGAGGAAACCAATACTAACGAGCTTGCCATAAGGAGTTTTGATACTTTAAACTATTATCTGGCAATATCTGATTTTCTTCACGAGTCTAATAAGCAAATGCTCTGTGACATGTCATTCACATAGATAAGAATCCACGTGATTACCAAGCGTAATTCAATATACGTCATTCATATAGGCAGACGTGCTTTTAAAAGTAGGAATGCTCGAAATTACTCGGGAGTTAACGTTCACTTCTTTGAAAGCTTTGCACCAGAAAGACAAGTTTGTCTTTCGTCATTCATTTGAAACCAAATATTCCTTATTACTTTCATCCCCGTTTTCTAATCTTGGAATCCCTCATTTAGCTAATATCATGTCAGGATGCTACTAATGCTTACTGGAATACTGCTTAACTAGTCAATAAGACAAAACTAAAGAAAGCTTTTAATACCGCTGAACTTAACACCACAGTAATACCAATCATATTGACACAGAGTAATCCAAGTTGTCTACAAATGAAAGGCAAAGCTTAATGTCGATACATATGTAATATCAGCACCTTACAATCAGATGTTTCAAGACTAACCCTAATCATAATATTACTTAGCCTGACTAACTTGAATAATTTTGCTTTAATTCTGAAACGTAACAATTTTTTAAACGCTATACTCTTACCCCGCTCTATTTCTTCTGCAATTGCTAATTCCATTTCTAATAACAAGGTTCGGCTCTAACAGTAACTCCGATATTAATGCTTGTGCTACTAACAATTGATTTACTAGCATGACTCCACCTCTTAAATTCTGATACTGGTGCTAACAGCCTTGCTTCTAACGCTTACATTTCCATGCTAATACTAACAGCCATTTTAACTGCGATACTAATTCTTTATCTGAAAACTAATTTAATAAAAAGTTGCCAAGCATTATTCAAGATCTCATCGCATTTACTACCCTTTTCTCGATGATTGTTCTTGAAAGCTCGTGCCATCCTCTCAACCAATCATATGCAAAAGTATAATGAAATTGACATGGTGCTAACTTCTCCCGCGCTTCAGCTCGTTTACTTTAATTATCATTGGCTCATTGGATTTCACGTGACGCGATGCTTATTTTAAAAGCGGTAGTGATTTATATCTAGAAATAACATCATTAATTCTAACATCACTATTTAGGAAATGCTTTCTTAATAAAATGCCTGACACGACGTCTATTCGAAAACATTTTGCATCCTCACATTGCTGCAAGGCTATCAACCTTGTCATTGTCACAATAATTGTATGCGATACTGAACGACACTAAGTCCTATTCTCACAAGAGAAGTAATAAGATTCATTTCAATGCTATAATCTTAACATGTTTGAATCGCGTTATCACATTCCACTACTAAAATAAGAGGTACTTCATTTGTGATAATATTTGACGAGAAATAATGGGATTATTTTCAATGCTCTAATCTTAACATTTATGAGTCACGTTGTCATATCCCACTACTGAAATAAGAGGTACTTCATTTGTGATAATACTAACGCTAACGCACACAGCACTTTTTAATATTTTCATGATAGCCTCGAATAGTTCTTTGATTGCAATTCATAAAGCAAAGCATACATTATAAATGCTAATTACTAATGATCATAAGAATGTTAATGATGAAGAAACCCGTAAGAACCTAAAAACCAAGCTAATTGACAATAATAATAAAAAGTACCGACTAATCTTTGAGAAAACGTTAATTTCATGCTAAAGCTTTTGAGAGTGTTGACAGTGTGACTGTGACAGTCACCTAAGTAATGTACTAAACAGTTCTATTTTTGATTAAAGAACGTGATCTAATGGTAGATGCTGCTGATTGTGGAATTAATAAAACAATAATCATCATCCTAATACAAGAGACAAACGCCATCATCGATTTCAGTAACATTTTGTAACGAGTTCCGATTTCATATTTAGCTTCATGGCTTAATTTTGATACTAACTGAACATGGTACCGTCAATAAAGCTAACAAAAATTGGAAGTTGAAAAATGCTTTATAAATTAACATAAACATTGATAATAATGATAATAATGATAACATACAAAATATATCAAAGAAGATCAAGAATATCAATCGTGTAACCATTATTAAATCAATTTGTAAACTAATATAAAGGATATTACATGGTCGCGCGGATGTACGAAATTCCCCTTCGAGTGTTAAAAAAATATTTTTTATGAACACCAATGAAATGCTAAATCAAAGGCACTGCATCAAAAAGCGCGATTTTTATAAGTTACCATAGCAATAGTTCTATTTTCATGAGTGAAGATAACATGTTATCTTCACGTGTGAAGATATCAAGTTTTCGCGCGAAAGCTCACTCGGTATTTCATTGATGTTTATAACTGAGAGGTTATCACATACCAATCATGCCTACTAATGCATATCTTCCAATACTGTTTAATCGTTGTTGATACTTTGGTGTTATCACTTTGAACCTGATTTTCATCTTACTACTACTGATGCATAAAAACATAAATGGCACCCCCCTCCGGCAAGAAACTTGAAAAAAAAATGTCGCAACACAACTTACATTTTTAATATCAATTGATAACATGCAAGCTCATACTGATACTTTTCAGTTATTATTAATATATCAATCACTAATAACTAACTAATAACCAAATATGTATCAGGTGTTGATAACTACGACGATCTAAAGCTGTTCCTATGCGAAATGCTTGTATAGATTATAATTGTAACTTTCTAGCTGATACACTAATGCTGATATTAATTCTTATCATTTAACTCTCGCAAAGTTATAATGCATCACTTTCATAGCAGAAACCAAGTTATTTTCTTAATGACTGGAAAACTCCTTTTTTTAATTGCCGAAGAAATAATTTCCTCTCTCAAGCAACTTTTAATTGGTTCTTTTCAATAAAGTGTTGCCAACTTTTACATAAATAATTACATACGAAATATTTGAATACAAACTGCAATCGATTGTTGCTTAACTGTTCATAATTCTTTGATCAAAATCTCGAGATTAATTAACTGAAAGTTTATCATCTTTCGTGGAAGTTGTGTTACGTTTCTTGATACAGATTGATGAAAGCATATTTTTTTCATGGAGCGATGTATCAGCAGCTTACTTAGATCGATGCCAAATGTTATTATCAGACTTCCATCCCTTTGGTTTAACTATACACAGCATAAAAAAATGTAAAAATTGTGCAGCTCCATTTACCGTTGTGAATTACATAATAAAGAATTAAAAATCAATGATGTTATGACGATGACTCAGCTCTGCGCATGTCCTAGCCACTTTAATTTAGAAGAAAACATTTCTTACCTCCCCCTCCCTGGGGACGATGACGGCCATGGTGGCCTCTTCCTGGTTCATGAGTAAATACCATGTCAGTACATATTGTGCCAATCAACTGAAGAAGAAGAAATAACGTCATATGTTAGTATTGCTTGGACGTTACAAGAGAAACCATGTAAGACAACAGAAACATCCTTTCGTCACCTAGTTGGCTGGTGATAAATACATAAGCTGCCCTGAGTCACCACAAGTTCATGGAAAGGAGCGAGAGCCTGAGTGATTCCCTGCATAAAGCTTGCCGCTACGGGCTGAGTCATGACCCTCTTTGAGTAAGAGAGAACTCTCCTCTTCTGTTTTTCTATGAGTTATGTCTTGAACCAATAAAATTTCCAGATTCAACTCGATACTCACAAAAATCAAGATCATGTTCCCTTCAGTCTTCATTTTCCTAAGGAATTGGAGGAAAGAGGAGTACTACTCAATGAACTGACACTAGGATTGAACCAGATGTTCCTTGAAGATGTTATCTCCATCTTAGATAAACCAAGCTTCGGTAAAGATTCGAGTCGGAATTGGAAGAAATAGAATTGTTCGTTCAGTGAAGTAGGAATACGCGAGAGCCTGCAATATTGATAGCCCTCTTCGGTTTATATCGATTCTCTAACAAATATAAGTGGTGTCAGTTTTTATTTCTATTTATAGGCAGTTCGACACTTGGCAATGAAAGCCAGTCTAGTGCACACAGTCACAGGTATCGAAATTTGTTTTTAATTTCAAGCATTTTGGGCGAAATTTAAGCTGAATACAAAATGAAGATTATGCACCCAATGTAACGTATTTTTCATGTGCACCTTAAATATACGCCTTATATACCTTGATTAATTTTTCTTCCTGTTAATATCTATGGACAGCTGGTTCTTTAAGATAAATAACACGCATAATTTTCCTGAGTTTTGAATATTCAATGTATCTGATAGATCCTTGAAAAGTTTATCTGGAAATATTCTAGAGAACATTTTGTCACACTTGAAGGCGTCTTAAAATTTCGTATACCCAATCGAAAAATGATTATAAAAACTAGAAGTATAAACATCAAACGAGATCATTTTATTCCTCGAATCAATAGCAGCTGCTCGTATCGATTTTCTGTTTGTCTATTTTTCAATGGTTTTTTTTTTTTTCGTTTCTTTGTCAGAATTTGTTTAAATTCTGACTTAGATCTCACGAAGTAGCACGATTTATCTATTGAAATTAATTTGTATTTTCAGAGATGTAGATCCGAAAAATTCAAAGAAGGAAACTGGTGTGTGTCTGAAAAATATATCAGTTGATGTCAACTTCCCTTTTATCCAGCAATCGTGTGAATGAAGTCTAAATTTCTTTTTTATCAACATGTTGCTATGTCTAAGGATTTTTAAAAAGTTTCACTAAGACAACTTTTGCCGTTTTAAGAAACATGGATTGTTTTTCCAGTCACCAAGAAAGTGTGGATTTCGTCTGAAAAGAGCTGATAACTTTGAACAGTGAATCATTGACCCATTCGAGTTCGTATTCTGTCCAACAGAACTAGTTTTGAAATTCTTTATATATTAGAGGCCGATCTTGGCTGAAGATGAGATCATATTTTAACCTGAGACAGCTTCTGGTATCACTTTTACGTATGTGTAAGTTGCAATACGAAAACCTTCATAATATTTAGAAGACTATCGAACTAATATCCCTTAACTAAAGTTCACAAAATTGAAAGAAGATTCAATCGCAAGACAAAACTTGCAGGACTGCATCAGCGCAATCATATATTTTGCAATAAATTTCCTTCGCTGTCGGTCTGCATGTATGCATTAGACATGAACAAATTTATTCTGAATTCCGTAATTTCGAGTTTTACCTGCATCATAATGCCTAATGCGAGGTATAAAACTGAGATGAATTTGGTGTGTTTGAGTTGTGTGTAAGAGAAAGAATAAAAGTTTTCATATTTGACGCATCTGGTAGCAAAAATTAACGTCAGTTTGTTTTTCAACTCGAGAAACAACTTGGCTGCTCTCACTCACCTCAAGATGTTAATAAGTAGTTTGAATAAAAATTTACTTCACTTCTATGGAAACCCTTTGCACACTGAGTAAAGGATCTCCGTCGCCCTGAAGTTGCACGAAATATTTCAGTTTTGCGCCGACATACAATTGCTGCAAAAGGTGTCAGTTTGCACAAGATGTTCAAACTCAGTAGTATAATTGTGAACAAGTTCTATAATGAGTTCATGATATGAGCCTAGTTTCTGATAAGATCGTTCATGACAACATCTTTAAGTGCTTCTTTGGAGAAGCATCCAATTGGCTGTATTTTTTGCAACAGATGCACTGCGGCATCGTAAATACTGTAAGTAAGAATAGATGATTAGCCATCTTGTCTTAAATATACAAGAAAAATGCTCGTTAAATGGTTTTATCAACCGTTTATACCAATAAATTGTAGCTTATTCCAGGAATTCAGTTAGTAAAACGGAGCGAAACAGTAGCGCGATAGTAGCAGATAAACGAAAAAGCTAGAGAGGTCTGGGTCGGGTCGGGTAAAGAACAAGGAGTGCGTTTAATTCCGACGTAAAAAATTGCTGATTCACGAGTTTAAAAACAGATTGCGACTCTGTTTGGTGCGCTGAGAATTTTTGTATTTCACAGAGTGAGGTGTTTTTACGACCAGAAAATCCTAGAAGTTACACAGATTTTCTGTTCAATACATGTTAACTCCTGCTCATCGTTCAGCTTTTGCCACGATTTGGGAAAAACAAGATGAGAGAAGTAGCTTCAATTTTTTTTGTCGTCTTTCTTTGTTCACAACTGCAAGCTCCTTCATTGTCCATATCTATTCTGTTATTACCTAGGTTAGAAGCTTCGAGTCCAAAGTGGAATGATTCCAGTGTTCTCCTTTTCAGGCGGTAACCGGTAACATTTACCGCCTGGAGTACCCCTTATTACCGTTTAAAAAGGCTTGGAATTCTTGAAATTCAACAGGTAAAAGGATTGCTTTGCCGGTTTGAAAATTTATTTTACCTGTCATGCTTGAAATAAGGGAGAATACTGGGAATGAATTCTTCTCTCACAAGCCTACCTGTCATCTACAAGATATGGACTACACATTAAATTGAAGAGGATAATAAACCCACAGCTTGTGTGTGTCGTCCTTTATTGCATCGTTGACTTTTCCATGTCTCCTTTTTTTTTTTTAACAAAACCGAACCGACGAGTAATGTGTCCACATTGTTTGCCTACGAGTTCTTCTCGTGTCTCACTAATAAGTGCTACTCAAGATGCGATGGATGACCTTATTTCGGGGAAAGCTGTCATCGTGAAGGCCGCGGGGTATGCTTGGACAGATGCAAAGGGTCCGGACTTCCTTATTGCAGTGCTTTCGTCTAATTCTTCGCAGGAACGGTTGAAGAGCAAAACAGAACACGCATAAAAAGTCATTAAAATCAGCATGGTACTTTCGATGCTAGCAGTTTCTGTTTTTAAAAAACTCACAGAACAGAATTTCAAATTACTCACAATACAGCGGGTACAATACTTTACCAACACTATCTATTTCTTTATTCTTACACATCGCTAAAAACCTTGTAAAAGATGAATGCACATCAAAACAATAATCCTCTTCCTACTTTTTTAGCTTAACAGCTCATATATGAAGCTTCTCCTTCCAGCAGTGACTTCATTGACTGTTTCAGTCAAAGCTATCATTCTCAGCTTCTACGTACTCATGAACTGTATGTGCTTTTAGCATTTATTTATTTTCACATCTATAATATACTAAGCAAATAAACAGTGCTGCAGTCAATTGAAAAAAAGTTCACGAAAGCTTCCTTATCAAGCAGTCAACACGGTGAAAAATGCCACTAACAACACACTAAATTACCATGGGAATGGATCTACTGACAGCTACAGTGTGGCCTATTCAAGGCTCTTGGTTAGCAGAAACAAGCAAAATTATATCTCAACGGCAAGGTGACAGAGCCACTTTAACTGTTCTCTTTATTCTTAAGCACACTAAGATCCCTAACACACTTCAGAAGATTCTCCACTGAGGGTCTGTCTGTGGAGACCTTGCTGCGATGGATTAGTGCAAGTTTACCATTTTTATCGAACACAAAGTCTCCACCCATCTGGGTGGGGTCATCTTCATCAAACATGGCCACAAGTTTCCTGCCAGCACGCTTCTGCTCTGCATAGTAAACTAGGGCAGAGATACTCCAAACTTTAGCCACAGAGCGTTTCAGACCAAGCGCATTGTACAGCTGACGTTCTGGGTCAACAAACATCCTGAACTCACAGTTTGTATCTTGAAGCCATTTTTTTGCTCCTTCCTGAAACATGGGAGATGACAATTACTGTTTTTCAGGAAGCAAAGGCAATCACAACACAAGCTGTGGAAGGGAGACACATGCTGGTATGCATCCTTTTGACTCCACATGCTTTCGCCATGGGTGATCCTTGTACTAGCCTCGAACTTGCACCTCAATATTTATGTAGAAATTCAACAATTTTTTAAAAATTTTTTTTTCATGCAAACTGTTTGCAAATATTTTTTTGTATCCCATTCCTAAAACTTGGTCTTACATAAAGACAATGACCCTGGCAAAGTTGCCTTGATGGCCTGTTTTCTTAGTGCCTGGCCCTAATACTGAAACCTCTGCCTTTGGATTCTACAAAAAATGTTTTGTATTTATCATAAAAAAAAAAAAAGGAAAGCAAATCCAAACTTTGTAAAATCCCAAGCCAAAACTACTAGGCAACCCTTCTAGTGGGTTGATTAATACAGATAACTGCAGAACCAAGAAGATAGTAGCACAAGATTTCCATGTACTCACCACATTTCCAAAGCTAATAATAAGGACTTCTCCATTCAGGGCCTCAAATTTTGTCTTTTGTGACTCCACTTGGGCCACATGGTCACGTCATGGCAGTCATGCAAAGTGGCGCAAAAGTATAAAAACTGTAGATGTGGACGTTAGCAAATCCTGAATGGAGAATTCCCTAACAATGGGAAGAAAAGTAAAACATTCATGTCCTCATAGCTTTGTAAGGTATAAAATCGTTCCAGCAAGCATTTGAAAGTATGTCAAAAAGTCTTTTTCTACAACATATCTAGGTTGTGCTACAATTATTAGACATGTTGAAATGAAGCTACTCTTCCATGCTGCAGTTACTTTGATAATTCAACTTTAAATCAGGTACAAAATTTGCACACCTCTCTAAATAAAACCATTCAATGAAAAGATTGTGAAGGTATTTATAAGTAACTGCCAACTCCCATGTTTGTGGATTGAAAACTCTGACATCATGGCAAATCACATGTGCCAATCAATTTCTCACATCCAGCTGTGAAATTTCATCTGTCACAGCATAAGAGACCCAAGCTTTTTAATTGTATAAAATAATGCAAAATCCTAAATCATTAATCCTAAATCATCATCCCCAATCATAATCTTAAACCTTAAGTTGTGGAGGGCATACCATTAGATACATTTGAGCCAAATCTTTAGGACATCTTTTAAATATTTAGAACATCTTCAGAAAACTATTAGTGCCTAAATGGATAATTTTTCATGTCCTCTATGAAAATGCTGGCTTTCTGACAAATACACAGTTAAAATAATCACATCACAATAAGCAAACACCTTATTGACCATTTTGCCAACCTTTCTGTGTGAACATCAATAAGTTTCAGATCACAAGGGCCATGTGAGCCTTCTACTAATTCTTTTGCCTTGTCTTTACATAAAGGATTTATCTTTGCATCTGTTTCTTCTAGGAAAGAGTTCCATTCGTCCTCAGCCTGAAAGAGTTCGTCAGCTGCATCTCGAATAGATTTATCATGACAGACCTTGGCAACTTCTTCATCTATATCTCTTCTTGACATAACATTCAGTGTTTGAAATGCATCAGAGTAATGTCCAATCATAGCCCCCATTTTACGCACTTTGTCTGCAACAAACTCCTCCATTGATTCTTCAGCATTTTGCTGTGCTTCAGTTAAAATGGTTGTCAGAACCTTTTGCAGATGATTTAGCTGTTCTAGTAATGTTTTCTCTACATATTCCTGAAAAAGAAAACTTCAATAAAAATGCTGTTTTAGAACTACTGTGTCCCTTTCCCAACCCTCTGAACAGGTGCTGTTTTGCCGTGTAGCACAAGGAACTGTACACTCCATAAAAGTAAAGAAATGATTCTTGCAGTTGCAGCTGCAATCAGTGAAAGTGCAAAAAAGGAAGATTAAAAAATTGGATGAGGATCTGAAAATCTATGGTTTGCATTACGGGTTTGTCCATTCCTGGACAGATGGGGCTAGCCCTTTAACTCCTATGATGTGATTGTCAATTCTCTCTGTAGCTGCTAGACATTTTCTTGTAAATTGGTTATGAGAATTTGGTGGTCAATCAAGGTAATTTCTTGTACCTGATGAGTTTGAGTATTCTCACTATCTGTTTGCTGGATAATTTATGGATAACATAGGGAGAAGTTACATTTTAATCACTTCTGGGAGTTAAAGGGCTAAAGGCTCAGAAAGTTCAAAGTGAGACCAAGCATCTGCATGAGGGCTTAAAAATATTGAAGTAGAGAAAATTCCTTATTGTTGAGCTTCAAGTAAAGCTGTAAAGAACTGCCGTAAGGGAGCCTGAAAAAAAATTTGAGCTTTTACAGGAAAACACATGCCTGAGCTAAGAAGCCACCCATTAAGGAAACTGATTGCAATACAATCAAATTGAATGAATCAAATTTTGATCTGCAGATGATGCAAATGAAATGTAATCAAAGAAATAGCAGAAACGTTCTAGCGGGGCACGGGTTTGCATCCTGCTGAAGTCTGAAATTTTTCAGTATTCGATTGTAGTTGCATATCATGATCAGCAACTGCAGCTCACCTCTATATTCTTTATTCTCTGTAAATAACGGTTGGCCCTTTCTCAAATCACGTACTAAACACCCTCCTACCCGTTACCCATAGTTTTCTACACTATCACATTCCTTCGCTCAGGACCCCATGAAATCTGAGGAGCACCTTAAATTATCCACGTCAGTACCATGAACTACTAACCTGGTCGTTCTCCTCAGTATTTTCAAGTCTCGCGTGCTTTTTCTTAGGTTCCTCTGTGTCAGACATATCTCAAATTTACTCCATCCCCTAGCGACGAAATAGCTTTAAAACATCTCCAAGTATCCCGAAACGATTTAGTTTATCGTTGGGAAACCAGCCACGACGTGATCAGACGCCATTTTGTTTCACAGGGAAATCACTCGACGAGTTTGTTGTTACGCAAGAGGTCAATAAATGTAGGACGGTTTCAAATATCGGACTGAGTAATAAATTTTTTCACACGTCTAAAAATCTCATTAAAGGTAAAATGAAATTTATATGCACCGCGCTGTAGTAGTTTTTTGCTTCTCCGATTCGTACAAAACGCCTTTTTACTGAATCACTCTCGCCGTTGGTATTACAACATGCAACATGTCCACAACATGCAAGAGGACGAAAAGGAAAGCGTTAAATGCCCCATGAGAGTCATAAGAGATGCCCATGGTACTCACAGGGTTACTCACAGGGTGGTCTTCCTGTTGCATGATAAGGCCCAGAGTGGGAGACTAGACTCCAGTAAAAGTCCTCCTGCGCCTTAAGATGGTCAGCGTTATCACGTTAAAAATAATTATGGCGGCCGTCGTTACAGCGAAGATTGGTAGCTGACTTTTTTCTGTGATCAAGAACACATTACCAATGAATCCATGGTGGCGTTGGCGCCTATTTGCAGATAAATATAATAACCATCTTCTGTATTCTATGATCGCAATGATGTCTTGTGTTCAAGCTGTGTTGGTTTACAAGTGGTACAAAGGCGAGCGAATCAAACGTAAGTGATTCCATGCTGTCACCGGCAAACTTTACAATCCTCTCTCTAAGTCATCTCGACCAGAAGCTTGTAAAAATTCCTTTTTGTCTATTTATAACAGCGTAAGATTAAAAAAAAAAAATACCAAAAAAATATTTTCAAGAGATGAAAGTTTAAATATTGATTTTAGACCTGAAGATAAATTCGCCATGCCCATGTCTTCAGAAGGGGGTGGGAAGAGTAACCTTTTTTCGGCTTACAAGGTATCAACTGCAGATTTTGAGGATTTCCTGTATTTCTTGAAGTTAATAACGTTTGGTCTGTTCATCAATGACCTGTCAAAGTCAAACTGAAGTTTTCTGTGTTTTGCAATGGACAGGGTTTCTAGTTGCATTTTTCCTTGAGAATTTGAACTGTTTTGTGTTAATCAGGGTCAGAATTTGAAGATGTCAGCGGGGCTCCCCACCAAAATTTACAGCAGAAGCTCTTATCAGGGTCCAACAAGTCAAACTAAAACAGTTTGTACTGAGCTTGTGCTATTTGGTCATATGTGGTGACACATTTATGATGTAATACAGTAAATGTTTTGAATATAAGAGAAACTGGATAATATTCCTGAGAGGGGCTGTTGTCAGTGATGGGAACTGGTGTGTCAAAATCATCATCAGGGTTTACTCTGATGATGAAATCTGCTGAAGTTGTTAAAATGTAAGTCACCTTTATTGACAAAAGTCATTCTCAGAACTTCTCCCATCTGGACAATTAGACCTTAAAATCAAACTGATAATGTGATAGTGTGTCTCAGCAACAGAATGTGTAGAAAAAAAATTCCTTTACCACCGAAAGAGAGGGTCCCCAGTCAACTGTTCATGGCTGCGAACCAGGTGGCCTGCTCTGTCCTTTTATTGGAAGAGATCCAGTGTTATTACAATACATTTGTGTATTTTTAAAATTTAGGATACATTTTTAATTACAGCAACTGAGGAAGAGCTGTACAAGAAGGGACCTGGGATACAAAAACTTGAGGAGTATCTAAGAACCATGGCAAAGAGCCCAGTAAGTTTATAACTTCAAACATTAAAATTGGAAAAAATTGTTTTTGCCTCACTTTTTTTCTATTGACATTGGTGATTGGCAAAATTGCTCAATGATCTGATACGTTTTTACAAATAACAAGGAACAGTGCTTGAGAGCAATTAAAGTTGAATGTGATAATTGTAAGCCAAAATTGTGTTCAGTGAATTGTTCTACAAAGAGGTTCATAACTGGTGGTCATTTACATTCATGCGTCAAGAGAGGTCTTTTATTAACCCTTAACATCCTAACATCAGCATACATATTCTCCATACTGTTCTCTATACATTTCCTAAGGTGCTGACAAGGAGAATTTTTGTAACAATGAAGAGCCTCTTTAGGTGGTGATCATCTCCTTTATTCTCATAACCTTAATGTGTGATTCAGGGGTGATATTGTAAGGAGAAATTAGATGTTAGTCACTCTTAGGGATCAAAGGGTTGAAAGAAAGAATTAAATTCTATTACTCCAGGGAGTCAGACTAAGATATCATTGATGTTCATTTGGTAGTCACCAAACTTAACTTTTTTCATTTTAACAATCTTTATTTTGTTTAGCTTTTTAAAATTAAAAGAAGAGATCCTTTCAAGGAAGATGAAGACCAGTAACCTTTGTGAAATTGGCAAAGAAAGAAACTGTGGCAATCTGTTTGTACCTGTAACAAGATGGGAAAGCCATGATTGCAGAGTGGATTTTAACAGATAGACATGTGGAGAAAAGAACTCTCTGTGATTCTAGAAGTTATGGACCACAAGGGAGTTTTTTAATTTTCTGCAAGATCTTCTGACATCTGTTTTCACGGATATGTTAAAAATTTTAGTGCCTGCCCTAAGTAGAACTCTCAGGATGTGATTCCAGAGTGGAATCAACTTGAAACAGCTTAAAATGGCACTCACTGTAAATGTATTTTTGTTTTTTTTAATACAAGTGGTTCATATTAGTAATTAGCTGCTCAGAATGATCTATCTATTGTAAAATTGATAAATAAATAAAAATTTATTAAAAGAAGTACTGGTATGTTTCCTCCATATATAATGTTTTATGCAATACATGATATTAGAGAAAAAATTATGACATTTTTTCCTCTCCTCTGGCATACTTAAACCTTTAACTGCCAAGATCTCATCAGTAATTCTCCTTACTGTCTGCCATATAGTTTTTGTGATGTTTGTTTGGAGAATTTGGTATTGGATCAACTTATATTCCCTTAATTTATATTTTTCTTTATTCTCATCACTTTTCTGCTGATATTGTACTGATATTGTTAGGAGAAATTCTGTCTTGGTCACTCATAGGAGTTAAAGGTTAACTGAGCTGTTACACATTTGAGAGACACTAGGCTGATGTCTGGTGTAAAAAAGTTGTTATTAATATCTTTTCAGGTTTATTTTATTATTACGAGTTCAATATGATATGTTATCTTCGGATCAGTTCAGTAGAGAGACGTAAATTTTAAAATCTTTATTCTGAGAGAATTATCAAGTTCCCGTACTTTTCTAGTAGTCCAGTACACAGTTCCCACATTTACAAGTCACTGCCGTAGCTATGGCAACAGACCAACGAATTCTCGAACATGTAGAGTGTAACATCTTGGAACGTCGAGAAGAACGGCTGGGTACACGTTTTGACTGAGGGATTTGGAGAACTTTATCTCCTTTATTTTTTTTCGACGACGTTGGATTTGTTTAACAGACAGACATGTCTGCGGAAGGATCATACAGGCTTGAACTAGAACCGCAGAAAAAGAACGTATTTGTAACACAGTTGCGGTAAGCGCCAAGCCACTTTTGGATGTCATGACTCTTGCATTATTTAGTAGTTGCGAGAATACTCCTAACCTATTTGAATTGCGGTTTTTTTCTTCGTACAGAGAGGAAGAGGAAGATGACGCCGAGATTCGCAAATTTCCCGTTGTTGAAGAGGTATCGTTTTATTATTCTATGTAAATGCTGTATATAGCATCTTGTTCCGGTTTTAATAAGCGTTTTCATATGATATCTCTTTCATTGGTAAACAGCTCTTGGTCGAAACTTCCGCTGGAACCCATAGAATTTATGTTTCCATTACTATTTGCGCAACTCTTGGTTAGATGAATAGGTAATGGAGATGGTAGAGAACTAATGAAATTGTTGAAATGCAACCATCACTTTCAACTTATTAACTTCGTTTTACCGCAAGGTTATTAACAGTGAATGTCGAAATTGTTTACATTTCTTTTTTCACCACATGGCGATTTTCATTTTCTGAAAATAATTGCATATACTCCTCGGTACAACAGCGTAGCATACGCCATACGGTTACGGGGGCATTATACGGAAAAGTTGTTAAGCATCTCTACAAAGTCCCCGTCACGATGTTACTTCTCGCGCGCGGTGAACCCTTCTCGCAAGCCCAAGCCTTGAGTCGATGAACGATTCATAGGGTCCGATAAAAGTAGCGTAATTGATCAGTGGCCATTCGTCGGACATTAAAACACTTTTTTTTGCTTAAAAACGAAATCATTAACACGAGATGATCATCAACGAACACAGTTGTAAGTCAACGTAATACGTTTTCTGGAGATATGTTCAATAGTTCTGGATCAGTACCCTGTACTGTTACTGTATATCATGAATTAAACTTCACCTTTTGACTTCACATGAAAAATATTGAAAGCTTATACAAATGCACAGTGCAAGTCCATCAAACATGTGGGTAGTGGTCGACCTAAACACACAGGCTCTTGGCAGGGTGTTTCAGATTGACTTAATTTAACCCTGTGCTTACTCCGTGCAAATGAAAACTTTATGCTGCCTTGGTAATGGCTGTGTGGTCAAAATCTGCCTATTATCAGTTAACCCTAACCCCCTAAGCGAAGGGAGAATGTCCACTTCTCCCACCTACGGGATCCTTGACCGTGCAGTGTCAATTGCGGTTAGCTTCCAGCTTTCCCTGGACTGTTAATTGGTAGTATGACTCCTTGATGGGGAGAGGCTCTGAGGATATGTCTTGGACTAGAGATCAATACAGACCTTAAATGCAAGGACCTTGTGATTTATTGAGACAGGCATGCTTAGGGAAGGCTATGATCAGGCATCTTATTACTAATAGTACTTTGCCCAGGACAACAGACCTAAAGTATATATATGTCCCCTGAAAATGAAAGACCCTCTTTAGTGTTGGTCTTGTTTTGTGTTTTTCTTTTTTTCACAATTTTTGTTGCTTTGTTTTCACACCAATTTCTTTATTCCTCAAATTTTGAATGTAGTTTTTCTTATTTTTTTCTAATTTGTAGTCAGCAAGTAAACTGCTTGACACAGGCCTTAACACGGTACAGTCAACTTTACTACTTAAGAAACAAGTTGAAGTTGAAAAGGTTCAAGAAGATTTGGATATCAAAAGGCGTCAGTTCGCAGAACGCATGGCTGCCTGCAAGGCTAAAGAGGAGGAGCTAAAAAAGAAACAAGCTCAGGTGAAGGAAAAAATTCAAACCTAACTGGGCTTTCCTCCTTTTGGGTGAAGTCTTAACCGCAGGTCTAAAAAAATCAGTAAAAATCTAAAAATTTTGGTGAGTGCAATGCCTACTTTTTGCATGCCTCACTCACAGTTCCACACGGCACCCAACCTCAATATTAATTTTTTCCTGATTTTTCCTGACTTTGCCCAAATGGAGTGTCTGCTCATACATGTAGTTTAGCTGCGAGGTGATATAATTAACTGATGCTTCTTGAAAAGCTTTGCATACTGTTCTTCTGCCAAGAATCTGGATTCCCTCAGTGTTAAAGCTACTGGTTTTGACAAAAATCTAAGAAGTATTTTGTATTGTGATATTTTGTAGATTCGTGAACGAGTTGGAAAGTTTGAGAAGTTTATAGAAGAAAATGATGCAAAGAGAAGACGGGCAATACAGAAGTATCAAACAGAACTAAAACTTAAAACTCAGAAAAATAGGGAGCTTGATGTTTTGTCAACTGAATTAGAGCAGCTGAAAACAAGGTATGCATACTAGACTTGTGGAGCTCTTCAGATTAAATTCAATTTAGACATTATTAACTGTTTTTTTTTTTAACGAAATTGTTGCAAATAATTGTAACTGAGTGAAATGAGTAAGTTGTTTTCTTATGAGAAACTATTGGAGAGAGTGTTTTCTTTGTATTTTAAGTTTTAAAGTAATGGTATGCTAAATTGAGGTAATGATTTTGATTGAAAGCATTAAGGAAAACTAGTTTGCTTGCTTATTTGGTCATCTCTGAAACCACTTTAATGTGGCTTAATTTTTGCAGCATTTTTTACAATGCACAAAAAGTTTAGAGGAATAATTTTGTTACCCAGCACAAATATTTAGTTATCGATTCATCAATTTATCCCCAGAAAAGAAGCTCTGATGGCAAAGCTGGCAAGATACTCAGTTTATGAAAAGTTTTTGATGAAAGTTCTTGATC